GCTTTCTTCTCTATTAGATGGGTGTAGTAAAACTACCCATGTCATAAAGTTACTGTGAGAATGAAATAAATGTCACCTGGATTTAGCAGTATCCAGAATGGTGTAAGCACTCAATATGTTGCTATGTAAGTATTTCACTAGTGAACCTGTGGCTTACGGAAAATAATGTGAACTAAGAATCATAAATCATACTGAGTCCTGGCTTTACCGCTTACTAGCTATAATGAGTCATTGAGAAGTTACTGAAACTTATTTCTTAAAAGCTGTAAATGCAAGAAAAACAGTTTTCAGTAATGAGTGGGATTACCTCTATGAAAAATAAATTCCAAAGTGCTGCTGAACACAAAATGGTATTATCTCAACTCTGTTTTTGAGGAGCGGCTGCTGAGTCTTGGTTGTCTTTGCATTTCTTCTGGCTTCTAGCACTTTACCCTTAGTGAGTCTACAGCAGCAGTTGTTGAACGAACAGTTTACTAATTCAATACAGTTGAGAAAAAGGAAGCAAATCGAGACAGCCTCTTCATGACCCATGGAGATGTGTGAAATCTCACATGTAACGTGTGTTTTTTAATCAGGTCCCCTGAAGCTCTGCTGTTCTACTTTACACAGAGACAGGCCAGGGAGGACTAGGAGCTTCCAATTAGAGCAGCAAGGATGAGCTGGGTTGCTCTGGGCAGGCACGCTGACCATCTGAGAAACCGGGGCTTGATAGCCCGACAATGATGGGAGAGGGAAACTCAGACAAGCAGACACAAAAACGTATAAAGCCTTTCAGTACGGAGCTTTTTACTGTAATGAGAGATCCCATGAGGCTTACTGAGAGATGAATTAGACAAAGCAGTTGAGATCTTCTTTGGAAAATAATTTCACTTTGGCAGAGTATACTAGATGACCTAGAATGACAGATTCTGCTAATTTCCATTATTGCCTCAGGGAAGGTTGAAGCAAACTGAGCTCTGATTTTGCAGTATGTTTCTCAAACATAACTTCTTGGTCTACTGCACAGGTAATTACTCTAACTACAAAGTTCATGTTGCTAATTATCTCAACTATGGCTTTATTTTCTCTACTGCTACTGAAACCTAATTCTCTTGGGTTTTACAGTTTCAACCAGTAAGCGCTAAAATCTTTTTCTAGCAAATGCAATGCTTGGTCATGTCACTTGATGTACGTTTTTGTATCATTAAAATGATTTACAATCGCTGTGGAGTATTGGTAATAATGTTTACTAATGACCAAGACTCAAAAATAAATTTATTTTCATTTACTAATGATTTGGTTTTCACCACCTTTATACCACTGTAGTGTGAATGTCATTCTAGATGGTGTACATGTGCCATTTGTAGGGGAGGTGAAAGTGAAAGGCATAAGAAATGTTTTGGAAGGGCAGAGGTGGGAAGTGGAAAGGTTTTGGCAGGTTGCAGTAATGGACCCCGTATCTAAGAGGGTGAACTCTTAAGGAGGTAGAAATAAAGCCTTCTCTTTGTTCTAATAACAAGACTACAAAGAGATAAATGAGATATTAATCATCAAAGACATTCACTTAGTACAGCCTGAGGAGGGAGGACTTTTCCACTCACTGCTTCTCTGTGCTGTTTGTACACAGGAAGTTGAAAGTTGTCACAGTGTGAGGTAACCTCAGGGACCTACTATTTTCTTTTTTAAAAATTTATATTAGTACATGTTTGCAAAGCATAATGCTTATATTTCTCATGGGGAGTTGCTACATACACATGTTGCATCTTAATCTTTCTTACTTCCCCTTCTTTTCCCTTCCCTCTTCTCCCCCTCCATCCCTAGATCTCCTTCCCATCTTCACACATCTACCTTCCTGTTTTCTATCACCTGTCTTTTATTTTGCCCTTTAAATTATTTATACTTTGGGTTTCTCATATAAGAAAAGCCATGTGATATTTAACCTTTTGTATCTGATTCATTTCACCTAGCATTATGGTCTCATGGTGTATCCATTTGACATCCTAGGAAGTGCTCTACCATTAAGTGACACCCCCAGATCTTTGTTTTTTTTTCTTTTTTCTTTTATTTTGAGGTATGTTCCTGGGGCTGGTCTTGGGCTTGCAACCGTAACCTTCTTGTGTAGGGCAGAAGCTTGCATAAAGTTACCCCCTGGGTCCTCCAGCTGCCTCTGAGATGTTCATCTCTGATCCAGTCACTGGCTGCTTCTGCTGAAACAACAGCCTATCTGTGTTTTTTTGGGCTGTGGAAAATTTACATTAGAAATTGAATGTAGGTGTGACTCTGAGGGCCATTCATTGAAACATGACAGGTACTAGAAGAGACGCAATTCCATGTGAAATTCCCTAAGCACAGAAGGGACCATAGGTAGATAAATGATTCGACTCAGTGATCTTCCATGCTCTTCCACCTCCCCAGATTGTGCTTTTATTTGTATTACCACTCTTGTATGTTTTCCTAGAAGTGTATGAAAACCATCTTTTTATATTATCATTAAAGTGAGCCATAAAGGTAATTCTGACATGGTACAATTAGGATATGCCTAAAGTATCAGAAAAACAAACGTTTTTTGTAAGCTTCTTAAATAAAATATATTTCATATGTGAAATATTGTAGATATGATAGTATAGCCAACAAGAAAGCTATTCAAAGAAATTAAATAATTTACGTAATGCAAATATAATGGAGCAGCAGACTACAGCAGGAGTAATTCTTTAAGATGATTGGAAATGAGTGCAGCAAAGTTTGGAAGAATGTCTCCAAATCAATTATAAATGATATTCTAGGGATTTCAGTTGGTTTTTACACTCAAATGCCGGGTGAACTGAGTCAGTAATGACTTGTCTGATAGCTGTCTGAGCTAAATTCTCCGAAATAGTGTAACTGAATTTCAGCATCTAACCTCTACTAAATGGGAAGTGTGTGTGTGTAGGAGAAAATGAAAATCATTCCATGAAGTGTCAACCCTCTGTCAAACATCAGAAATTAGTTATTTACTCAGACAAAATCCAAAAGCACAAGCAAGACTCAGTTCTTCCACTTTCGCTTTGCAGTGTGTTAACACAAGAAGGACAGAGGGCAGAGCAGAGTGGCTTTGTTTTCAGGCTCCTGGGTAGCTATGTTCCCACAAGGCAGTGCATGATCAGGGCAGACTAGCTTTGTTAAAACCTACGAGCATCATTTGGAGACAAGATTAATCTCTCTTGGCCTCAATTTCCTCACTTATAAAGTGGGGATAATAATAGTACCTAGGTCAGAGAGTGCTTCATGTTTTTGGTACAGGTTCTTCACATTTTCAGCACATAATCCAGCATTTATTGATTGATTGAGAACAGGTCTTGCTGAATTGTCCAGAATGGGCTTGAACTTGTGGTCCTCCTGCTTTAGGCTTCCAGAGTGCTGCTGGGATTCTAGGGTTGTACCACCACACCTGCTCAGAGTTCTTTTGAGGAGTTAAGGACTCCTTGGAACATTAACTCCTACAAAGTGATCAATAATTTAGCTTCCCAGAGTGCCATTGCCTTTATTGTTCTTTAAGAGATAGGGACCCTGAGATTGTGCTTTTCTCTGCCCAGAGAACCAGGAGAACATTAGCCAAGACCATCATCACCCACAGTGGTTCTGTGTTTGGATTCTGTCAGTCCTGGCTGAAACAGATTGGTCTGATCCCAGTTTCTGACCTGATTTTGTTCTTCCCAGACTGGACTCTTTCCTGCTGTTGCTACTTTGCTTGAACCTTGCCTACATGACTGTGTCTGTCCACCCTCAATTCCCTCCTCCTAAAACCTTGGGAACTATTTTATAAGATTTTAAAATTTTGAACACTATTAATTTAACTTGTATCAATTTTATTATTATTATTTTAAATTTTGAGACAGGGCCTCATATTTTCCCAGGCTAGCTTGAACTTGCAGTTTTCCTGCCTCAGCCTTCCAAATTCTGGGATTAACTTGTATTTATTTTACAACACGTGAGTTATCAGGTGCTGGAAATGTACAGACAATTGGAGGTGTCATCAAAGAACATCATCCCTGACTTTCCTTTGAAAAACTGCTGATGCTTGGGTGCCATCCTACCTGAGATCTATTATACTTGGCTGTGGATTTATTTGGCTTGGATGAGATCCAACCATCAGTATTTTTTAGAAATTCATACTGCCCATACTGCTAATGTGCAAGCAGAGTTGAAGAGCACTTAGCAAGCTTAAGGTCATACTGTTAGTGGTGGAGGCCAGTCTCAAACACCAAGCTGTACGCTTTCTGCAGACAGACCTCAAATTCTGGTTTAACAGAGGTTTTCTGCACAGTCCATTTAGTGATTGTACTCTTTCTCATAAAAGTAAGGTATTAAATAAACACGCCCTTCTGTTTGTTGGCTTCTGTTTAGTTAAAATTTCATTCTGTGCAGTTCTACCTTAACCTTATGTTTTTTTCCTACACTGGTTTGTTCAGCAAGCCCTTTATTCCCACATGTCTTCTTTTCTTGCCGCCTCCAAAGCCACCTCTAAAATGTAATTGCATTGCTGAATCCCTCTCTGACATCGTCCACCTTGATCAAATACTAATTTCTTCATTGTTCTTTCAGCCTGTATTAGATTCTTCCCAGGCACAGTCTGAGTGCTGATGTGATTGTAAAACACAGTGTGTTCCCATGAAGTATTAGGGTAGAATAAAATCAAGTGCCTTTGTGTGTGTGTGTGTGTGTGTGTGTGTGTGTGTGTGTGTGTGTGTGCATGGTTGTTTCCTGCTATTTAGGGATAATTCAGCCTTCTCTTCTACACTGAAATGTAATTGGAATTATGTTACCTTTTCTCATTAACTGTTGCCTGCAAATTGATTAAAGTTTCTTAGGCTTAGTGATGTCCTAAGTACAATAACGCTTGGTTAAAATTAATCATGGAATTTCATATGTATTAAGTTCCCGTTGTCAGCTTTAGTAGGATAGGAAAAGGGAATGTCAGCTTAATTGAATTAACTATTTACAACAATTTGCCCTGTTATAAGTGAGGTTTTTTTCCTTTTCAGGAATCTTTGTAATAGTTTACCCTCATCTGCTGAAGACTTTGACCAAAGCTGCTCCCAGCCCTCAGCGTCGTCCTGAGAAAAGGGCTGCCTCTGAAACCAGAGAAACATTTGGGAGACTCTCAGCCTAGTGGACTGTCTGAAGGTGAGATTGAATTTGTTCTCTACTTGTCTTTATAAAGGGTCTCATTTAGCTTCCAAAATACACTCTCCAAAGAGTGAATAGGGAATAGGTTACTGAAAATTCTTTGTAAAGAATTGAGAGTTTTTGTTTTGGGGGCGAATTAATTTTTTTAGCAGTTTTGATGGAAGTCAACTGAATATTTTGACCAAAGAGAAATTTATTTGAAGTGGAATTTTGATCTCTGAAGACTTACTTGAATACACACACACACACACACACACACACACACACACACACACACACGCCTTAAAAGATCAATAACTTTCCAAGAAAGTTCTTTTATATTTATGGTCTCTGTCAACCTCAGTATCTGCCTTTATGAATCCAATAATATAACTCAAAATATTTTATTTTATTATTTTTTGTTTTTTTTGTTTTTTTTCTGGTACCGGGAACTGAACTCACGACCTTGTACTTGTCAGGCAGGCGCTTTGCCGCTGAGCTAAATCCCCACCCCCTCAAAATATTTTATAAACATGAAATATTTTTTGCATAAGTTAAAAAAAAACCAATTACTTTATTCCCAAACATTTATAACCCTCCAAAATACTCTTCTACCCCCTAACCTATTTTCCCCCATTTAGTCATTTTCAGTTCAGTTCAATAAATTTTGCTAGGCTCTTTGGAAGCAAAGGTAGTAAGTCTTTGCCTTCAAGGAATATTTAAAAATGCAAGAGACAGACCTATAAGTAGGTATAACCAACTGTAGTATGATACAAGTATACCGAGGGTACATTAAAGGATGGCAGAGGTATCTAATGCAGTCTGGGGGCTGGAAGACTGTGTGTTACAGCGGGCTTCTTGGAGGAGGTGGCCCCTGAAATGGCTCTTGAAAGATGAGTATAAATCAGTCAGGTGAAGAGCAAGTGGAGTGGAGGAGGACACCACAGGCAGGAGCAGTGGGTTAGGATGTGAAATCCAAATGTGAAAGTAGTAAGTTGTCGCAGGTTGTTGAACCATATACTCTGTGTGTATGGGGGGAGGCAGAAAGCACAGAGGGATGTTCATCTGTAAGTCATCAGCATTTTAGTCGTGTCACCATGGAGTGAGCAGCGAGTGAAGTGCAGGGAAACAAGATTGTTGTTTTTTTGGAAATGGGAATCAAACTCAGGACCTCACGCTTGCCAGAGGGGCACTGTGCGATTGAGCTATATCCCCAGCCCAGGGGAACAAGACTGAAAGAAGGGAAGAATTGTTTGGTAGTGATCTGTGAAACAGAGAAGATGGCTAGAATTTGGCTAGAAACATTGTAGAACAGAGAGGGAAATTTGAAGACTCTAGAATGTGCTGGATTTTGGAGTTGATGGAAAGTGGGAAAATGTTAGGACCTGGGATATTTTGGTTTCTGGTTGGGGTGGCTGATGCTGTCTTTAGATTTAGAAGAAAAGCAGATTTATTTGGGGGAGGGAAGGACTTTGAGGTACATACGGGACACTGGACAGCTGGGAAGTATAAGGTGGAGGTAAGGAGAGGAACCAAGACTAGAAATACTCACTGGGGAGTAATAGACTGTGTGGCTCATCTTGACACTACTGTGATAAAATACCTAAGAAAGTCGACTTACAGGGAGAAAAGACTTGTTTTGGCTCAGTGTTTCAGTTCCTTGATGCTTGGCCCTGCTTCTTTTGGGCCTGTGGAGAGGGAAAAGCAACATGGTGGGGAGCACAGAGCAGAGCAAAGCCATTTGCCTCGTGGCGGCTGGGAAACAACCAGAAAGGAAGGGCTGGGCTTCACCAGGCTCTCATCCCTGCAGCCTGGCCACCGAACCTTTAGCATGTGAGATTTTGGGGGACATTTGAGATCCATAACATAGGCAATAACTAGAAATATTTTTGCACATATAAATTTGATTATGTACCTAAGCCTTCAATATTATTTGTTCATATACTGGAGACACAATCCAACACATTTAGCAATTTACACTACAACATTATTTGCTGTTTCATTTGTGTGTGTAGTTATTGGACTTATTTGCTTGTCATGATAAGTTAAGAAGTATCGTAGGGGCAAATGTGGTAGCTTTTTCAAGTCTGATAAAATGTAATTTAAAACAGTATTTAAGGCTGGGGATATAGCTCAGTGGCATAAGTACCTGCCTGGCAAGCACAAGGTCCTGAGTTTGATTCCCAGTACCAAAAAAAAAAAAAAAACCAAAAACCAAAAAACACAGTATTTAATAAACAGTATAAACTATAAAATTTCAGAGTCAAAAACCAGTGCTGTTTTCTATTTTATTTACAACACTTATAGAAATTAGTTAGGAAAGGTGCTTTGCTTTCCACAATGTAGTCTTTCTCTGTATCAATCGTGTTTCTCAGGCTGGGGATATAGTTCAGTGGCACAAGTGCCTGCCTGGCAAGCATAAGGTCCTGAGTTTGATTCCCAGTACCAAAAAAAAAATCATGTTTCTCGTCAATTCCTCACGCTCCTTGCCCTGCAGAGTGGTTAGGCATTGCTGATGGGAGATTGAGCAGGGTCTTGCATTCTTCAGTGGGGTGGTGCCAGTCTCTCCCCGCTGGGTGTTCCCCACAGTCCACCCAGAACATGGTGAGGGGGTCTGTGTAACAGAGGCTGCACTGTTCGAGAACAAGTCCATCCAAGTTGGGCTTTGGAAATTCAGTACTCAGAGCCTTCTTTGAGGCAATGCCATGGGTAAAAATTTTAAATTCAAATAATACTCACAATAGTGCTATTTTGAGTTAATTTTATTTGATTATTGTGGTCTTAATTAGCTTAATGACTTTTTGTTTAAGACTTTTTGGAAAATTACAAAATCTTCTCATTATACTCTTTATAATTTACTTCATTACTATCTTTCCATGAACATTAAAAAGAAAAGAAAAATTAACTTGAAGCAAAATTAAGTAATTTAGTAACATTTGGAACCAGAGCCCTGATCTCTTGAAACTCCGGCCTTTTCATTGTATCATTGTTTTTTCTCATTCCAAATCTTTATTGGACTGTGGGGTTATCTATATATCTTAAAACAGAATTAAGTAAACCACTTTACACCAATGGCATTTACTTTGGTTAATCACTCTAAACTCAGCAAACAGATTTTACTTTTATACTTGAGTACTTGATTAATGCTTTTTTAAAACATAATTTTTAACATGGGTTTTGGTTTGGTATTATTAATTTCTGTATAATGATTCCATTACCGTACTATAGGATTGGAAGAGAATCAAACCACCTATAAAAATTACAGTTAAAAAAAAGGACAGTCATCTGTGATTTCAAAACTAACACTTTTAAGCAGATGATATTTCTGACTTGGTCAATTACATTGCAATCTACTGTGGATTTTATGTACAGGAAATGAATTTATGGAAGTGCTGAGCTGGTGTAACTTAGAATGACGGCACATGCACTCAAGTTGTAGGTGGTCTCCAAGACAATGGATCCTTTTCTAAAATTCACAGAATGGTCAGTCTTTGCTGTGAAACCAGTGGGCTGTAAGTCGTCAGGGTGCGTGTACAAAACATGATTCACTCATCCCGAAAGCTACTAGGAACAAAAGGAGTTCCACTCTTTTATGTGTAAAAGGACAAGGGATATTCCCCCCCGCCTTTTTGCCTCACTGTCTCTCTTTTTCTCTGTCTCTGTGTTTCTTTCTATTTTACTCATATTCTTGGGGAAATAGAGACATACTAAGGTAATGTCTCCAAAGCCCAGGCTCTTTAATGGTGTTTGTTTCTGGAACTGACGTGGAAACAGCATGTTATAGATAAGGGATGAGAACTGCGTGGGACAGTTTTCCATGTGCTAAGGGTTTGTCCTGTTTGTTCCTTGCCTGGGCAGGTCAACAGTGTAAACAAGGTAAACAGATAAGGAAACCGTTGTGTGCTGTGAACACAAGACAGTATGATGGTTATGAAAGGGAAATTCCGCTTTCACCACTGTTGTTTGGCCTGGTGGTGGTGTCTTCCACGGGTGGTATCTAACCGTGGGTGCAGTGAAGTATAGGCTGCAGCAGTATTAGGTGGCTGTTATCTACTCAGATTCTGAGCAAGTGTTTCAAGTACCATTATGCAAACAAAGCAACATATTAAGTTTTTGTTAGCTTTGGAGTTGCCACTTAAAAGCATCTAATTTGAAATATCACTCAAAACTACCTTTCTACTCAGGTCAGAGCACAGAATTCTGCAAGAGGAGGGTTGGGTGGGAAAACTCCTATTGGAATATAGAAAGCATGGGTAAGTTTCCAGGGTGACACTTGCTTGGGCACTATTCCAGCAGACTCAAATCATAGTTAGCTGTAAAATGTGTTATTCTATGCCCTTGTTTAATGTGGGATTTTAAAAAGAAAGAGGTGAGGAAATGCTGAGCCACTGACTTTTGGTACAAATTCAATCCACCATAGAGGTCATAGACTTAGCATCAGCGATTTGTGGACCATTTTGGTGGAGGACAATGACAGTGGGTGTTTAATCAGATAATGTCCTGCTGCCGTTGAACTTTCACTCTCCACTGCCTTTGTTGTTTGGGTACTTTGGAAATTATTCTTGATTCAGGTTTATTATTAACTTTTGAACCTAGCTATGTCACTAGTATCTTGCTGCTCATGTTAAAATGAGAATGGTAACTAGAGGATTTATTTTTGCATTAGTTGATAGCATGGCAAGCCAGTGTAATATGAATTGACTTCACATTTTTCCGTAAAATAAGCTGGTTCATTATCCCCTGAGGATTTATTTAAAATTCATGCCTTAATAAGCCATTCTTGCTAGTTGTTGACTTTCTGGGTTTTCTTAAAGCTTCTACATAACAGGGAAATAGGTAATAATACATAATAAATATTTTTATCTTAAACCTTAAAAAACATTTTTGATTGTTGTCATTAAAAATGGAAAAATAGAATTTTTCACCATCAATAGTATAACAGGGATAACACAATCAATAACATAACAGGGAAATAGGTAACAATACATAATAAATATTTTTATCTTAAACCTTAAAAA